TTGCTAGGATAGATGATATGATACATATGGAAGAACTTACCGCTGAACTTCATGATCGCTCTGAAAAATTCCAACGAACCTGGTTTTATAGGACAGACTTCCGATATTCTTCAGAATATACTTATCTCTAGGGGGAGGAGAGGAGGGTTGTTCTTGTTTTTTTCTCTCTTTCTCTTTTCTCTATTCTCCTTCCTTCTTCTACTGCTCCTTTTTATTCACCTGTTCCATGTTGTAAAAAAATTGAGGGGGTTTTCGGGTGGCTCTGAGATTCCTTTTCTTGGTACTGATAACCATTGCTACCATACAGTCTCATGCTGACAATCATTAACACATTTGCTTTTATCTGTAACTGTTTGTGAAGTGATTACTACTATATGATTGTTTTCTTGCTGATTGGTTGTATGTAGACTTTTATATGTTTTTTCATCTTCTGGAGTCATTTGTAACCTCTCTTTTCAATAAAAATTTATAATGGAAAAAATAAATAAAGAAAAAAGAAAGAAAAAACACTTTCTGGCATGTGACAATCGGGTGCATACGATCTCATAGCTCTATATCTGTGAGATCTCAGGCAATAATGCTTCAAACTGCTAGTCTCAGGAGATTTGGGGTAAAATTTGGTGATTTCACTAATGTGCTGCTCACTGTTCTCCTTTCTGGAGACTTTGCTTACAAAGCCCTGCCTCTACTAAGATGGGGTTGTTGACAGGTGCAGTGGCGAGGCCAGGGAGTGGTTGGGTAGTGGCAGGTATGTAGTGACAGTGGAATTTCAGGCACGATGGTGGTGGGAAGGTTAACGGCTGGCAGAGTAGCAAGAGCCGGGGATGTAATGCTGGCAGAGTAGCCTTCAGTGTTTCCTTCTCTGGCTCCACCTCCCCCTCTGTACCTCTCTCAGTTGGAGTCCCACAAGGTTCTGTACTGTGTCCTTTTCTATTCTCACTCTACACTACCTCTCTTGGTAACCTTATCTCATCATACGGCTTTCATTACCACTTCTATGGTGATGATACTCAGATCTACCTCTCCTCATCGGATCTTTCCCCCAATCTGTTGGCTTGGCTTGCATAACTGATTGCCTATCCGCTCTTTCAAAATGGATGACTACCTGCTTCCTCAATCTGAACCTCTCTAAAGCTGCCCATACACCTTACAATTTATCTGCAGATTTTCTGTGGTCAGATGGAAAAAGTGCAACAGATTTGCCCAGGTGGAGATTACTCTATCCACACAGTTAAGTGTAGATGGAGGAATCTGTTGCACCTTTTCCATCTGACCACAGAAAATCTGCAGATAAATTGTAAGGTGTGTGGGCAGCTTAAGACCGAGCTCCTCGTGTTTCCTCCCTCTAAGGCTACCCCCATATCCATTTCTCTTAAGGTGTATGGAGTAACCATTTCCTCTACTCCTCAGGCACTGCGCCTTGGCGTGCGTTTTGACTCTGACCTCTCCTTTTCTCCTCACATTCAGTCTATCACTAAATTGTGTCATTTTCATCTGAAAAACATCTCTCAAATTCGACCTTTTCTCACTGAGGAAACCACCAAAATGCTTGTCCATGCACTAATGATTTCCCAACTTGACTACTACAACCTTCCTCTCATTGGCCTGAAACGTGCCCAGATTGCCCCCCTTCAATCCATCATAAACGCTTCAGTCAGGCTCATCTGTCTTACCTCTCGCTGCTCTCATACGTCACCCCTCTGTCAATCTCTGCACTGGCTTCCTGTTTCTTTCAGGATACAGTTCAAACTTCTCAGCCTTACCTACAAAGCTCTGCATAACCACGTACCAGCTTACATTTCATCCCTAATTAGAAGATATACTCCAAATCGGCCCCTTTGTTCCACCAGACTATCCTGCCCACTCACCCGCACTGTCACCGAACTCTCGTCTATGGGACCTCACCATGGCTGCCCCCACCTTATGGAATTCTTTCCCACACCACATCAGGCTCTCACCAGGGAGATGGCAACCTGTAGTGAACCAGAACATGTGTGAACACAGGAATAAGCCAACTTGTAGTCAACAAGCATATGTGTGAACAGGGCTGGATTTCCCACAAGGCCAACCAAGGCCCGGCCTCGGGGCAGCAAGGAGTAGAGGGGCAGCGTGTGACATGCAGTTCCGGGCACCACGTGGGTAGTTGTTTTCTACAGTTAGCCTTGCTTTGGGAATAGCCAAACCTTGTTTCCTACTTTAACTGAAAGCTCCTTTGCATTCCAAGTATCATACTGTAAACTGGGGCAGGATTAAGAGAATCATGGGCCTGGCTTCTGTTGGTCGGCCAGGAAGCAGTGGAGACAGCTCCCTAATTAGGGAGCCGCCTGCTCCTCACTGGGGCCCCGGATTGCAACCGGGCATACCAAGGCGATCTGGGCCAGCTGGGCCTATTTTCAGTGGTGGGCCTGGAGCTGGTGTTCCAGTAGCCCTTACGTTAATTCCAGCCCTGCTGTGAATAGCAACGGGATTCAACGAATAACGTTTTCAAAGAACTGCTGACCCTACAAGTGCCCAGTAAATAGCAAGAAAGGTGAATTTAAGGTTGCGGCTTCCATGGGCTTGCTATAATTTTTAGGTATTGAAAATCCAGCTTCAAAATATCTACACCTGAATATGAGCGATATTCTTAGCAGGGTTTATTTTCAGATGTACTGTAGGGCCAAATCTGTTAAAATCCCGCCTGAGAAATTAGCCCAATTTGGATTTGGTAGCCCAGTCTCTGCATATACTGTACTTTACATTGGGTACATATGGCTGTCAGGTGTACAACATAACCCCATCAACATTACCCTAGTTTAGTAAAGCTCCAAGGATACTCTGATAAGATGTAATTGAAACCTCCTGGCGGTGCAGCTTTAACAAATGTGGGTGAGGGAAGTACTGTAGATGGCACTCGTTCTGTTCACTCGCATAGACGTACATTCAGCATTGTCCATGTTCACAACAGATGGACTGCCAGAAGGCCTTGAAGAAATCTATAAAGAGCATCTCCGCAGCTCTGCTAAACAGGCGGTGATGATGATAGGGGTCAGACGCTCCCTAGATACAGAACCTGTGCAGCCAGACAGAGTTTAAGTATCATATGCCATTCAATGAGAACATGACAAATTGCACAGCATTAAATATGGGAGGCCCGTCCCTTAGATGTGTATACACAAAGAATCAGCCACTGTGATGCATTTCCATATAACCGCTTTAAACCCTCTACATACAACATGCTCAATACACATTTTCCACGTCCATACTCACAATAACTGCTTAAGCTTCTGCTACCACAGATAGAGGATTTCAAAAACATCCCAATTACTATTATTCTTACACATTAAAACAAATTGTTTAAGTAATTTCCATAATCTCGGCCATGCCAAATGGCTTGAAAATGTGCATTATTGATGCTTTCATAAACTAAACGACTCGCTGGTAAATGGGAAAAAATGGTCTGCTCATGTTTAAAGCATGATTTGAACGGGATACACTGCTTTTAAAGCATTCAGCCCTACATAATGCTGTATAATAAGTGACACAGATGAAAAGTCTGTTATCGGCTAGAGCACAGCAAACTGCTTGAACTGCTATTTTAATCAAAAATATAAAGGAAAATCTCTTTTTTACGTGTATGTAATGACCACTGCCTACCATAAAAATATTTTCATTTTCTCTGCAGCCAGTCCTGGTTATATTTATTTATTACAGGTATTTATATAGTGTCGCCAGCGTAAAGCTGGCCAAGCACCTATAGATTATCTGCAGATTTTCTATGGACAGATAGAAAAAGTGTAACAGATTCCTCCATCTACGCTAAACTGTGTGGATGGAGGAATCTCCCACTGGGCCAAGCTTCAGTATCTTGCTAGTCAGCCCCTTCACAGGAACTCAGTATGACACTGGGGTCAGATTGTCTTGTGCGGGCTGTAAAGGAGCTGACCCCCTTCCTGTGAGTCATTTTAACAAGAACACTGCACACTCGCTCTGCAGGTCATTCTACACTGACCACAGGGGCATTGCAACTATGAATATTAATGAATGGGAGGGGAAGAGCTCAGTTTCCAGAGAGAGGCTTGCGTACGAGGGAAGCATAGCATTGTGGGAGATGTAGTTTTCTATGCCTTACATTGTAGTTCCCACTGTGCCCAGCACCCTGTAATTTACACAGACTGCCTGCAGAGCACAGAGGCAGCCATTTCAAAAGGAGCCATGAGGAGATGAAGAGGACAGCCAACAAAAAAGTTCACATACAGCAACTGCATATGCCTTCTGCATGTACACTCAAAGTACATTGCTAGCATATGTTTTTTTTTTTTTTTTAAATACCTCCACAAAGATGGAAACTGGCTTTAAAGCAGACCTTGTACTAAAATAGCATGAGGCATGCAAACCCTATTTGTAGTGGAAGGTCCTCTTTAAATCAGTTCAATTCGGTTTTTTTTCGTGCTAATTTGCTGGATCGAGATTGAGAGAGGGATCCATCCCACACTCGCTGACTGAACTTTTATTCTTTTATTAGAAGCGCTTTTTTTTTTTTGGACAAATTAGCTATGCACATTTTTTTTACAAACAGACCCCATACTGTAGAGATTGTCCCAGAGAAATTACCATTACCATGTGATTATATCAAGTTACAAAGATTCCTCAAACCGATTCAGAATTGTTTTCTATGAATATGTTTGCCATCTATGCTGCTGGAATTGCTAAAACAAAATTGAGATCATTAGTAGTGAAGAGGCCGGGCATGTTGCGAGCCCCGTTTGCCCAATCAATGTCAGAAGTAGCAAGGGCGGCATTCCCTGCCCCAGTGAGATGTATAGCTGCAGGTTGGGAGTGGAGGGTGGTGGTCAGAGTTTTCAGCAGGCTTGGACAAACTCAGGCGAACTGGGTATGCACCGAGCCCAGCCTCATCTCTTATTATTATAATTATTATAAATGCACTGCAGAAAAAAATAAACATACTTCAAAAAAGAATTATGCACCTAAAACGGATTTTGAAATATTTTTATTGAGTGAAATTATCTGTAATAAAACAAATCCACAGAACAACATTTCCATCCATTTCCTAATATTGCTTTAACATTTGATGACATCTTTTCGGTGCTAAAGTATAAATGGTAAAATACGGATATATTACAGTACCTTCCAAATAAAACAAAGTAAATAAATTAATAAGTTAAAACAACATTCCCCTTACTTTGCATTATTTACATACTTGAACAATTTTAAAATCACTGATTAACAAAGCACACAGAAGTCCAGAGGATAAATGTTTCTACTAATCATTCTTTGCATAATGTGTCACTATTTGCCTTAAAAAGGTGTATCTGAGGTGCTGAATAAAACGGAGGACCTTCCTCTGGCCTTGTAAACGGAGGCTTAGCACTTGCTTTGGTCCGAGTGGTGAGAGGTAAGGTGCAGGACTTCTTTATCTTCTTATGTCTTCATTGCTTGTATTTGATCTAGTGAGAACAGAAAACACATTGAAGTATAATTCTGGTCTCATTAACAAGCTGAACTGTATAAAACGAGCAGCAGTTCAACCCACTGAAATATAACTGAGTTAGTGTACGCAGGTGCTCAGCATGCATTTGTTTTTGCTTTTTTCTCCTACATACCAGTCAATGTGACTATATGGTAAACACACAGCAAAAACAACTCCACACAATTAGACTTAAACTCACCACAAACATTATAATCTGATTGTGCAATCTCCTTTAGATCTGCCAACAACTATGTAGTGCAAGGGCCTGTCTCATTGAACACATATTGATTGGATACATTAGGTAAGTCCTCATATTACATAGTTTTGGTAAACTGAAAGTTGATTATACACAGAGATTTTAACGTGTATGGTAATCATTAAAGGAGAACTATGGGGTTAGGGCTTTTCCCCATAGTTCTCCTTAGGGTAACGGGGAGGACACAAACTAGCGTCCTCCCATCACCCTAAGCTCAGTATACCGCGAGCTACAGCTCGCGGTATACGGAGACGCCGCAGCTGAAACGGATCCCGACAATTATGTCTGGATCCGCCCAGCTGCGTTAGTGACAGCTGGCTCTGCCTATCTAGAGGCAGATCCAGCTGTACCCTCCCCCTCCCCCATCTGTTCTGCCAGTCAGCGCTAGAAGGATCGGAGCGGGGAGGGGGGAATCCAGCACCTCCACTGTCAAGGCTCTCTGCCGTGACAGGATCGAGAAGTGAGCGAACGCCGGTATGTGTTTGCTCACTTCCAGATCTACTGAACCGACCTGTGACAGTTTCATTGGCACAGGTCGGCTAGAACTATGAGGCTGAGTGAATAGCACTCACCTCATAGTTCTCCTTTAAGGGTCCATTTATAACTCTTCCCCTCAGTCATTTCTTTGGAATATCTTATTCTTTAAGCTCCAAAATTGCTCAAATTTCAGCTCAATGTAGCTTGTCCAATGCATTTCAATAGAGCTGTTCACATGTCACAGCTCAATGTCAACTGTAGCCCGTCGCTCAAGCTTGTAGCTCGAAAATGACCTATTTTTCGGCCGATTTTGTGCGATTTAGCCCAATAGACTTTAATGGTGTAGCTCATTGTCGCGCTACAGAAGTGTCACTTTTGCACAGAAATATAAGAAGGAAGGAATGATGTCACATCAAAACCACTTTGATTGGATACAGCCCAATGTAGCAGCTATGAAGTCCCTCTGAAAAGTCGCGCTACATAGCGCGACAAAATGTGCACTGTAGCTCAATGTCGCTCAGCTCAAAATCGCTTTTTTGGATGTAGCTCAGTGTGAATGGGGTCTTATTAGTGTGCTCTCCGGTGCTCCACACTCTCACAAACTATGTATATGCTCACTTCCTCTTTTGTAGATTGTATAGCTAAAATTAGCCAATCAGAACAGGGGGCTCAGGTATGGCCAGCGTTGCATTAGAGGAAGAGGACCACCTGCTGAATTGACAGGCTTGCATGTATGACGACTATAAGAAGCACATCCACCATGTAGGGCTTCTATGCTGAATCCATGCCAGCTATTAAAAGCTTGTTGTCTGGTGAAGATGGTGAGGGAGCTCAGGCAGTTATTACCTTAACAAAAGTCACATTGTCAAAGCAGTGTGCAACATTTACTTTGCCACAAATATTACAAATGACTTATGTGTATTTTAACCCTTTCACCATATGCAGAGGTCATTGAAGCCTAGATGTAGCCTCAGCGCGTGTTACGTTATATATAAAACTTTAATGCCACTTTAATGTCTTTCCAAGGATCAATACATGTAAGCACCTAAAGGGAGTGCTGGGTATGCATTAGTAAGGTCAGTATACAATACATATTGGGCTGAAAGTGGAATGTGAACCAAAATACGTTTTCTTTCCCATTCTGGATAGATAGGGGAAGGATTAGAACCTCTGTCAATATTTGAATGCTTTATGCCCCTCCTGACATTTAACGTCACTTACTGTTCTGAAGATAGGGGTCACTAAACAAAATAGTAGCAAACTCTTCTCAACGGTAACACCGGCAGCAATAAATACACCTTTGTGTAGTATAGTGGGAAAGGGTTATAGCCTCTATTTGGTTTATTTGACAATGTTCCCATTGGGGATTTCCCTGTTCTGGTGGAAGACTTCTACTGCCATTCTGCAAAGTGTCAGCTTTCTTTGGCGTCAAAATGAAGACTGGCTAGATCACTGGCTTGTCACAGCTCTCATTCCTGTCACTAGCTTCCCTGGAAGGGTCACCCGTCTGGAAGACAGACACGTGTTTTCTTTTTTGTTAATGTGCAGCCAGTAATTGTGTACCTTAGACCCAAGATTAGTCATTATCAGTCTGATAACAGCAAACAGTCACAATTTAGTCACTTGGGTCCCCAGGCCTTTGCTTCCCAAAGCCCATTGAGTACCAGAGCATTTGTTTTTGTTCCAATTATGTCTCAGTACTGCACATTATATCTTTTAGCAATGGTAGTCTACCCAAACATATTACACATCTTTTTTTGGGACAGATAGGGCTTTAATTTTTTTGTAATATAAAAATATGGTAAAGGGCAACATTACTGGTTTACTTCCTCCGGCAGTGGGTGGTCATGGTTGTTGTACAGAACTGCACCACATAATGACATCACTGCCGTTCCCTGCGGCATTCTCCTGGGAGTCCGGGGAGAATTGATGACACCGCCCCCAAGGAGGAGTGTCCAGGATTCCCAGGGCTCACATGAAGTGGGTTGAATGCTGCTTGGTGTCATTGAACCTGGAAGAGGACCAGCATTGGACTTTACCTATGCAAACCACATTAAATACAGGCCAAAGAGTCGGTCCCTTAGACGAGTGCTAATTCTTCTGTATGTGTCACAGAAATCATGTTGTTGAACACTTCACTTTTTTCTTTCTTAGTTTAAAACTCAGAGGTTAGCTGAGGTTCTGTCTTTTCAACATCCTAACAAAAAACAAAAGTGTTGGCTGGAGATGGGCTTTAAAGTACCATGTGCGTGCATCACCCTCACTATTGGGTATCCATAAGGTTTCAAAGCTCATGTGGCCATTAGGGATGGGAAGATATCGTTCCATCATTTTATTTTTCTTTGTTCTTGGGGAGATATTTGCCCATCTTTGGCCATCCTAGGGCTCAGCATCTAGTTCAACAACAGGAACAGAGACCTTCTCCTAACAAGCTTTTTATGGACATGGACAATCATGGTCTCATCAATAAGGTCATAAACTGTACAAGCTAAAGTAAAATCCTTTTAATTTATTTACTAAGGCTAGGACATTTACAAGGCTTGTCTTGCTGGCATTTCCAATCACAGCACTCTCAAACACTATATAAAACAGCATGAGCTGAACCATATAAAGTCTATTGGTGTTGTAATATCTACTCGCTGTAACTGGCTAATTGAAGCCACAATGTCCATTAAAACTCAAACATGACATGCTGGTTTCTGTGTGCAGAGTCTGTGACTATATATACTATGGAAGTCAGCTCTGAAGATATATGTTACTATATGGGAAAAGTGATTGGGAGGAGGGGGAAAAAAAATATTTGTGGCATCTTTGGTGCAGTTTTTTTTTTTTTTTCCCTCAAACTACATTTTCTGGTTTATTTACTATACTGTCAGTTTGAGTTTCATTAGTGGTTTGCACATTGCATACTTGCTTCAGTAAAATAAAATATAATTAAGTAATTTATTCTACTGCTTCTTTCATTGGTATATGTTGCTTTGTAGCAGTTGAAGCCTATGTGTCTTTTTATATAATAGGGGTTAAGGTTCCTACATAGTTGATGAGCACAGTGGCTGTACTTTGCTTTAGACTTGCTCTGAGAGTAGAGACATCGTAGATTTTGGGTCACATGGTGAAATAATTAATTCTGTTATATAGAAAATCAAACGTCAGTGGCCTCAATTCAAATCACAGATTCCCAGTTCCATTTTTGCATTCCAAAGATGTAACTGGCCAGTGTATTGTTGGACGTTTAGTTCCTCAATAAAAAGCTTTTTATTGTTATAATAAGATGGTTGATTATTTAGAATACGATATTGACGGTGTCCATTCTCTTAAGTGCGCAGCAAGTGAACTCGGAGAATCAAAACAATATTTTGAAAAGAAAGTTCCTTGGCTTTAGCTGGAGGTCTTAATTGTGACAAAACCACCCCACTCATGTGCAGTGTAACCATAACCTCATGAATTCACTTGAGGATTGCTGGAAACACTTTAATCATGGCCGTCTGCCCTACATAGTGCTGGCAGCAATCAGGCTTCTTCCTGACAAGTTACTGGAAGAATTCTTTGGGGAAGTGACATCTGCCTAACACACAGCACTGTACACAGGTGACATCTGATGCGGTTTTTGCAGAGTGACAGCTGTAGGGTGTACTGCGACTATTAGTTCTAAAACATATTGCTTATAGCACACAGTGTAACAGGTTTTTCTTCCTATACATTATATGGTTATTGGTAGATGGAAAAGCTGAAGGGGATGAAGTCACTCAAAACAACATTTTATATTATTTCTACATTGCCAGGTACATCAGAATTCAGCCTGATTGGCCATTCCAATAGACTACAATGGCCAACTCTTTATCTCTTCATTGATTTCTGACCAACGAAGGCTAGAAAAGGGAACTTGGGATTTCACGGTTTACATAATCACAGGCTAAGGAACAGGAAGCTCCTACAGACCAGTCTGGTGCAGATGGCAGTCTGCAGCAAAAGAATTAACACTTGGGTGAAAAGTAGAGGCATTCTTCAAGTAAATCATGCCTCCTGTGTATATTGAATGCAACATAAAGTATAAACCTCAACACCAGAATTTGCAATTCTATGTAGTAAGATTGCTGATGGGTGATGCAGCACCCATGACAGACAGCATGGGCAGGTCCTCAACCTCAAATGCAACAACATCTCAACTTAGCCAAAATAAAAATCCCCCCTGGCCGGATTAGGCAATAAATGAGCAGCAGCACACTTGTGAAGTTGTCACTCTGCATTCTTCTCCTGTAAGCATGCTCACTCAAGCTTACAGACTCCTAGCGCTGGTCCAGTCTGAGTGCCAGTAGTTTACAGGAGGCTGATGTGAAGAACAATTTAGGTACTTGCGCTATTTGCATTTAACAACATGTGTAATTATTTTTTGATACCAAACTACATTATTTTTTAGATCTATCTAGAGTTAAAGCCCAACTCCAGCCACAAGAAAAAAAAAAATTCAATAAATAAATAACCTAACAGTGGGGCACCAAGAAATGGCAAGGGTCAAATGCCTGTTATATCTAGGAGTAGAGGATTAGGGTGTAATACTTGCCTTACTCCTCATTCACTAAGACTCCCTCTATCTATGCAACTGGTCCTCCAAAGCCTCCTTTCACCAGAAGACCCTGTTGCCAGACCGTGCATTTCAACAATGATCTTCCCGTAAGATGATATGAGCATTTAAAGTATTTTATGCATGTTATTTAGCTGTAAAAGCCTACCTTGTGTGAACATCTACAGCCGCCATCTTGGATGTAATGTCAGAACCCCCTTTTTATATAAATGTCTTAATAGTGACAAAAATAAAGCAAAGAATAGCTGTGGAAAAGGACAGCTATGTGGTCCGTGATCATCACACAGTGTTGGGATAAACAAAGGATGGTGAGTACTGGTTGGAAAGGATGGAGTGGTGTGACTAAAGCAGGAAAAGAGTAATTTCAGTCTGGTTTTAAACTCGAGGATTGCTGTGACAAATGGAAGTATGTTGGATCCTTGATGACAACTGCAAAAGATCTGATAGTGTGCGGTTGGCCTATAAGGTGTCAAACTGCACCTTACTCTGCAAACAGAAATCCCTACATTTGTCTTAAAACACAACAGAGCATAAAAGAGCTCTTTGGTGCTGGAGCTGCACTCTATTATTGTGTTTGAAAACCATTGTAGTCGTGGTCTTCACATAGATAAGAGTAAGTGTGATGCTCCGCTGAAATAGCAATATGAACAGTAAATCGACTCTGACATCTAGTGGTGACTGTGTGTGCTGCTAACATCATAACATCTGCTACTATTTGGCATGGAAAAGGGCATTGTATTCATAGGAGATGAGAGCAGGGATGGATGATTACTAAATGTATCAACTGGAAATTCAAAAGAAGATTTTGTGATTGAGATTAAGCACATCGTCAGCATGAATATGCTGTGCATACTAGCACATCATGGCAAACAACTCCAAAAAGGCGTTTTTCGTCCCCACTTTAAAGTAAAGCTGTCACTAGGCAATTAAAACGGAGCATATAATAATAGAGATAAGCAGATGTTAATGTACAAGTTTTAGTGAACTTGAACTACTCTTATTTGCCCACTTCCCCTGTGTGTAGCCTGCTATGTTATACACCGATCAGCCATAATATTATGACCACGGAGAGGTGAGTGAATAACATTAATTATCTCCGGGAAATGGGTGGGATATATTAGGCAGCAAGTAAATATTTTGTGCATGAAGTTGATGTGTTGGAAGGAGAAAAAAATGGGACAGCACAACTCGGCCAAACAGCTGCCAGCTTCAGACACAGGACTGGAAGAGCTGTCAGGTTGAGATATTTATTTGTAATTATTACTACACGTATTAATATAAAATGTGTGAAGACATGCCAGTCTGTTTATGTTGTGTAAACTGCAGGTGTGACTACATGAAATTGCTGAAAACAGCAAACCTAAAATGGCAGTTTTAATAAAATAATTGCACATGCACAAATATCAATATTTTTGCACGTGCTGTTGTATGACCATGCCATGTGGGTCAGGCCAGCTTGTGGGGCCTGTAAAGAACGCCAGGTATAGTAGTGTCAAATGCAGCCAGAAGACACAGTCCTCACTGCCTTTGATGGAACACAACACAAAGCCGGGCAATTGCTTTCCTGTAAACCTGTGCGTACTGTGCGGACCAGCGTTTTCTCTCTTTTTATAGCTGTGGCACCCTTTAAAGTATGCAAAATCTCAAGGCACCTCAGTCTAAAATGTAATAAACATAAATGTAAAAAACTAAGTGTGGTTTTCCCCAAAATTTATAACAAACCTTTATTCCAGATAGGGGTCTGGTAATGGATTTTTAAGGTGGGCCCCCATGCAAAAAAAAAACAAAAAACAACTCTTCACATCAGAGTCCCTCCTTTTACATCAGAAGCCCCCTTTCCCATTAGAGCCCCCTACCTTCCTATCAGAGTGCCCCCCTTCACATCAGAGTCCCTCCTTTTACATCAGAAGCACCCTTTCCCATCAGAGCCCCCCACCTTCCTATCAGAGTGCCCCCTTCACATCAGGAGCCCTCCCTTCACATCAGAGTCCTTCCCACAGTGCAGCTAAGGCAGCATGGCAGAGGGCAGGACGTGGGGCAGTTCTGGACAGGGGTAGACTCCTACCCTCTTCTGAATGCTCGGGAAGGTCTTGGATGTAACCCTTACCCGGATTAAAGTCATGCATTTCCATGGTGCTAGTGGCTGACAAAACCAGAAGGCACAAAGGCGTGTTGTGGCACCCTGGTTAAGAAAGGCTGACTTAGATCATTGTTTAATTACCATTATATGAAATAGATTCTGGAAGCATTTAGAGGGAGACAGTAATGTGCACCAAGCTCCCCTGTTTTACATCACAAGGATTCTATTTAATGTTACTGCAGATCTTTATGAAAATGAAAAGTGGAATTATTATTTAAAAACACTGTATTACAGCCTGCAGGCTCATTTAATGGTGTGACTGGACATGAGATAAGATGCGTGTAGAAAATGTCCTATACATATTGTACAAGAATGTGTCTAGTGTATACTGCACTGCACATGGGCAATCTCAGATCACCTCCAGTTCTCATCTTTATCTATAGCTTAAATTCTAATTGTAATGAAAAAGGACAAACATTCACAAACAGTAGGTTTTATATCTGTATTAGAGGTTTAATACATATACATTCCCCAGAGAAGCACTGTAATAAAAAGAATAAACTTGAAATAAATGGGCAATACATTTGTGGCCAGCCTGATACCAGGTGACGAACAGCAATCTTAAAAAGATATAGTATGTCGCTAAAGACTGAAAGCAATAAAACAAAATAAGCAAATGAATGCAGCTGTACTCACTGCGTGATTTGATCTGATAGCGGAAGAAATGGAAATAACAAAATGAAAGAAATAACTGAAAGCGAGAGAAAGTTAGGAGGGTGGAAAACAAAGAAAGGAGAGACGGGGGTAGAAGAAGAGGGGGAGAGACAGACGGGAAGAGGCAAAAAAAAAGAGAGATGAAGAGTGAGAAACGAAGAGGCAAAAAGAGAAGTGGAAAGAAAGAGAAATATAAAGAATGAGACAGACACAAAATAAAGGGGTGATAGAGAGGTGAAAGAGAGAAGAGAGCAAAAAAAAAAAGAACAGAAGAAGATTGGTAGAGAAAAGAAAAAGCAAAAGATAATAGAGAAAGAAGAGGAACGAGAAAAAGAGAGCGCGAGAAAGAGAGACGAAAATGAGCGAGAAAGTGATAACAGGAGACAGAACGAAAGAGATAATGCAAGAGAGAAAACAATAGCAGGAGAGGGTGAGAAAGAATGAGAGAGAGCGAGAACAAAAGAGAAAACAGGAGAGAGATAACACGTAAGAGAGAAAGACAGAAAACACGAGAGAGATAACGAACGAGGGATAGAGAACACAAGAGATATAAGGAGGGATAGAGAACACAAGAGATATAAGGAGGGCTAGAGAACACAAGAGATATAAGGAGGGCTAGAGAACACAAGAGATATAAGGAGGGATAGAGAACATGAGGGATAGAGAACACAAGAGATAGAACGAGGGATAGAGAACACAAGAGATAGAACAAGGGATAAAGAGAAGCTGAGAGTGAATCAGCAATGGTGTGGCAGGAAACTGTCACTTACCTTGTAACCAGTCCACTCCCTCCTGAAGACCCTCACCTTTCAGTCCATCACTTGCACTGTTTAAGATAAGGGGGTAGTCAGCACAGAGCATGTGGAAGCAGTATTGAACTTTCAAACATTTTTCAAAAATGAATCCAGATCAAACAAATATACATTGCCCATCAGAGTATTTCTTAAAAAATGTGCCCAACCGCTTACAATCATCATGTTTCAGAACAGCTAGCTCTCTCAGTTCGACTTCCCAGAACTTGCTGTTTAATAACAAGATCACAAGGGACAGCGCAGTCTGCAGCAAATGTCCATCTACTAGCTTGAAGAAGGTAGGAGCGGGAAACGGGGGGGTTGATTGCCTCACTGAGCCTGATTGTGAAGCCACACACAGCTTCCTAGCACACACAAGGGTGGCTCCATAGGAAATGAGCCACCCAAAAACAGGATATTAGACCAGTGCTCAGAGGGCCAGCTGAATTTACAGGAACCTACCTCTCTAAAACCTCAAGGAGCAGCATCCATTCCAAGTGATTTAAATCAGCATTTGGAATCGCTTAAAAAACGTTTGACTTTATATCACTTTAAGTAATATTTATAATTCAACACTATATGAAAAATGATGGCAGATAAAATAAAAAAAAAAGTGTTGGCAATAGCAGGAACCTATATATGCACCAACACTGGGATAGATCATTAAGAAGTTGTTTGGATGACACTGTAGAGGAGGGTTTGACTATAAATCTATCCATTACCAGATTTATTTAAGGATTTCCTAAATACGGAGCTTTCCCAGAGACAACAGCAGTCTCTGATCCCAGTTACAGGAATGATCTGATCAGAGCTACAGCTGTGTATACAGTATGTGGTGATAACTGTGAAGCAGACATGTACATACACAGTAGAGCACCAATAGTCATAAGTGTCAATAGCCTATATTATAACAAAGAAAAGACTGTCTGGCAAATACATGGAACCAAAGGACATTCCCTGCTACCGAAAAATGAATCAGGATACCCAACAATCCAATGCCGTGAAAAGTCAAATACTTCTTGTAGAGCATTTTATTTGTTCCCCCTTTTTATTTGTAGCTTCTTCTGGCTCGCATGGTATGATAGTGGCATGATGTCATCTCCTGACTATACACATTATTAAGATAAGACCAATACGTTTGCTCTAAACTCTTTAAAACACTCTCTAAAAGGAGAGCAGGAACTCAACATTACAATATTGGAGGAAACATGCCAAGACATAAAAAATGCCCCATATGTGCTGGTGATAGTGAATAAAAAAAGGTCAAACTTTCATGCATTTTCTGGACTTGTCCGGCTATGCAACCATTCTGGAAAGATAACCATAAAATACAGATGAAAATAATGGTGGTCAGCTTTCCTCTTTTTCTCCCACTCTTGCGAAGACCGCTGGCCATCTTCTCAAAAATCTGTTTATTGACATCTTATTGATGCCACAAGAGCTCCGATTCCCAGACACTGGCGTTGCACACATGTACCATCCATAAAAGGAATGGATAAACCAGATCAATTACATTGATGAAATGGAGGAACAAATGTTCACTAAACAAGACAGGCTCGAGGCCTTCAACACGATGTGGTACTGCTGTAGATATATCACTCCTTCCCAGGATTTCAAGACCCTAAGGATTGACAATATACATTTTGTTGACATTTTTTATCAGACATATAAAAGACCTCCCCTCCCTAAACCTGAATGGGAAAAAAAACAACGCAATATGTAAGCACTAAGGGGCAGGGCCCTCCTTACCATCTTGTCTTGAATTGTATTGTGATTGTAATGTCTTCCCTATATTGTAAAGCACTGCGCAAACTGTTGGCGCTGTATAAATCCTGTATAATAATAATAATACTAATAATAATAATTTGGACATTGCTCTGAGCCCATCCCCTTTTTTCCCCTCTTCTCTTGTTCCCCTTACTTCTTTCTTCCTACCCTTCCACCCATCACCCTTAAAATCACTTTTTCTGTTGCCACATACACCAAGCTTGATTCCTAGGGCCCACACCACAACCCATAAACAAAATGGGAACATATATCCTCTATTGACCTGATATCCTGTAGACACCTACTGATTCACATGTACACAAGCTATGGGATGATGATTCCTGATATAAGCAGAGTGTGGATGCTCCCAGGATACAGCAAACCCCAACTCTTTCTCCTTCTTACCACACTTCATTGAATATGTCCTAAAAAAACACCGAATTGCCAAAAGTGTCAAAAACTACTTCCGTTGTAAACAACAAAAGTTATTGTAGAAGAAAGATGTATAGAGGATCAGACAATGAGGCAGTGTGTTGTGTACCCATTGTGAATCTTACCTTTTGTACTGTTAAAACATACAATTAAGAATGGAATAATAAATAAGTGTCATGAGTGAATAACACTGGCACAAACAGGCGAAATCTGATTTCCAAGGGAATAAGGGGTCTCTTTATTAACAATCTGCAAGGCAAAATGTTCATTCTGTGCAAATAGAGGCAAAAATGAACATTCTTATTATATCTTTTCAGGCTAAATGTAAGCATTGGAAATACGTATTTATTTCCCATGCTCCTCAGCACCATCTAGTGGCCATACTGCAATATTAGCTACATTTGACCTAAAAAGGAAACATACAAAGCAAAACGTCTGTTTTTAAGTCTATTTGCACAGAACAAATGTTCTTAGAGATTCGCAGGGCAAATGGCTTTGCAAATTATTTATAAACCCCTAAGACTCAGACCTCTGGTTTCAATTAACTGTTTTAGACCGGAAGGACTTCGTATCTCTCAGAGTTCACCAGGAACTTGCTCTATAGCCAAACTGAAATGTAATGGCTCTCACATGGGTTCTGTTACATTTTTTTGCTCCAGAAGGATGCCGGCAGTAGTACCGTTATTGAGAAAGCATTTCTGCTTAGAGTTGCAGCACGGGGACAACTGTATTCTGGTTTATAGACACTTCTAGCAATCAAAACATCTTTATTGTGCACACTCACACACTTCAAAATAATAGAACCATTACCAAATATGCCACGGCTTGTCCTTGATGTTCTCTAAACACAGCAACTGAGACACCTTCACAGATGACAGAGAGTCCCTTAGGTCCATTTTGTTAGCAAAAAACAAAATTGGTATCCGTCTGTGCTTAATGTCTGGGGAACAAGAGGAAAAAAAATGAAAAAAGAAATTAGGACACAGTTATAGGTTGTAGGAACATGAAAGAACATTCACCGGCAAGACAAAGGTGTATATTCCTTTCTACATTCAGAGAAATATGTATTTGAAGCATCAATGTTTTAGTTCTCTATAGTGATGAGAAAAGTGAAGTAACTCATAGCATCCAATCAGAAATAATCCGTGTTTCCGTTACAGTAAGCTGAAGAAAGGTTGATATATGTGACAGCACAACATTGTACATTTTTACAGCAGAAAAGACCATCTCTTCTCAATCACAAGTTAAATGGCCCAATCACACATACAGCCGTGAGTGGCGTTTTGCTGCACCGGATTAACACGCGTCACCGCTAGGGAAGTGCCCTGTGGAAAATGCAAACATTCTACATTTTTTCACAATACACTGGATGCCACTGCAGGTGACCACAGAACACACTAGCCTGCCCGCTAAAATGCAGCATTTCAGTGAACTGGCTAGTATGAATGTGCACAAAGTGTATCTAAAATATTATATATATATACACACCGTATTTTGCGTTCCATAAGGCGCACCTGACCATAGGACGCAGGGAGGGTAGGGTTCTGTGACAGCTGTAGTTAGTGACAGCTGAGACAGGTGGCGCTGTGATTACAGCGCCACGGTCTCAGTGATCACACAGAGCAGACGAAGAATGGACGTTCTTCGTCTGCTCTACGGGCTCTATGGTGAGCTCCTATGCCGTGCTCACGGGTCCCCCAGAGGAGCGCGCGTGGCTAGAGTTGAAAACAAGTGATCTAATTTGCTCCATAAGACACACAGACATTTTTGCCCGCCTTTTGGGGGGAAAAAAAGTGCGTCTTATGGAGCGAAAAATACGGTATATATTGCAACTTACCAGTCCTCATGTATGCTGCATTTGTTTTCTATTAGTGGTCTAGTTTCAGACTTTTTATTTTTACCTGGTGATCCTGCCAGTAATGCACTTCCTGTACGAGAGCGACAACACTGCTTCTCTGTGCCCTTCTCCTCTACGCTGTGCCCTCTTCTGTCCTCTGTGCCCATCTCCTGTCTGCCCGGCTGTGCCCCTTTCCTGTCCGCTGTGCCCCTCTCCTGTACGCTACAGGAGAGGGGCACAGCGGACAGGAGAGGGGCACAGCGGACAGGAAAGGGGCACAGCTTATAGGAGAGGGGCACAGTGTATAGGAGAGGGGCACAGCATACAGGAGAGGGGCACAGCATACAGGAGAGGGGGACAGCGTATAGGAGAAGGTCAAAGCGTACAGAAGAGGGGCACAGTGTATAGGAGAGGGGCACAGCGTACAGGAGAGGGGCACAGTCTACAGGAGAGGGGCAGTGTACAGGAGAGGGGCACAGCATACAGGAGAGGGGCACAGCATACAGGAGAGGGGGACAGCGTATAGGAGAAGGTCAAAGCGTACAGAAGAGGGGCACAGTGTATAGGAGAGGGGCACAGTCACGTACAGCGTACAGGAGAGGGGCACAGTGTATAGGAGAGGGGCACAGTGTACAGGAGAGGGGCACAGCCGGGCAGACAGGAGATGGGCACAGAGGACAGAAGAGGGCACAGCGTAGAGGAGAAGGGCACAGAGAAGCAGTGTTAAGTGTTGTTGCTCTCGTACAGGAAGTGCATATACATAGATAGAGAACAGCGAGTGTTACCCAAAGATAGGGCTACAGAACACCCTATCCTTCTCCATAACATGAGAGAAGGTGTTTTCTAGTCCACAGGGACCACTGGGAGCAGTGTAAAGCTGGGTACACATGGTAATATTTTTTTCCTTCAGACTCGCAGGCAGAATACCCAAACATGCTGTTCAGCCGATGATTATCCAGCATCACCCTTCAGCAAAACTCTAATGGTCAACTTCTGTTGAGGGCATACAGCCAACCACGGATTGTATTGAGATTCCTTCTGAATCTGCCAAAATTTGCTCCGTGTGTACCTAACCTAAAGTAGAACTCCAGGCAGAAGTGTACTTAACCCTTGCAGTGGGGCTACTCCGCACTGCAAGGGCTAAGTGCTCCTTTTTGTCTAGGTGCTAAAAAATTTTTTTTCAAACTACTCACCCAAACCATCGAGATGGCTCCCTGCTTCTCCGGTCACTGAAGCCCCTCTCTTCCTATGCTGCAGCATTAGAGTGCTCCTCAGCATCTTCACGTCTATAAACTGTGAGGGGAATTTATCAAAACTGGAGCACACAAAATCTGGAGCAAGTGAGCACAGCAACCAATCAGATTCTCTCTTCAGTTTGCTCAGTTAAAGTGACATTAAAAAGTCAATTTTTTTCCCCTCCCCCCAATGTTAATTAAAACCCTTACCTTAAATGATGTCTCTTAATCCGATCTTCTTCTGCCGTCTCGTTTTCATCTGTCCCTCCAGCGCTGCGGCGGGTCTCCGATCCAGCGCTGACCCCTCTGTGCTTGCTGGCACTTCCTGTCCCACGGTGTCTGTGCGGGTGCACGCGTCCATAGACTTAGCTTTTGTCTCTCCTCGCATCCTGGCCGAAGATGTGAACTGCGCATGCGCCCGCCCCAAGATGCTTTGCGGCCACCCGAGGATCTTCACATTTTCGGACGGGAGCGCGCGGGGAAGACACAGGTGAGTATTAACCTCTGTTAAAAGCAGTTTTTGGGTTTTTTTTTACACTTTTTGCATAGATCTACTGCTTGCTAGCAGTAGATCTATGCAAAAAAAACGGAGGGTTTAATTATCCTTTAAGATTTGAAAATGAAAGAGAGAAGCTGATTGGTTGCCATGCACAGGTGCTCCAGATTTTGTCTGCTCCAGTTTTGATAAATTCCCCTCCATGTATAGAATGTGATCATTTATGTGACCAAGACTGCTGCAAACAGGCCTCAAGGATCGGTCTAAGAGCAGGTTGGCTTGAAGGATCGGGCGAGTATAACTTTTTTTCTGTAACACCTAGACAAAAAACAAGCACTTAACCCTTGCAGAGTGCTGGCAGCCCCACTGAAAGGGTTAATAAAAATTCTGCCCAGAGTTCTGCTTTAGCTGACAGGTGCAGCAGAAGCAGAGGGCACAGGAAGTTATCAGCTCACTAGTGTTCTGACAGGATCAACTGGTATATTTTATACTCATCAAACAGATATAACAAACACTTTCAACTCTAGATTTATTAGACCAAAACGGAGACGATATGAAAAGTTCACTTTAAATAATGCGTTAAAAAATAAATGCAGGCTGAAAAATCGGTCAGCTTCCCGGCTTTGCTGTATAGAAGCATTTTTGCTCATTTTGTGTACTCGGTTTTCTTGTTTTGGCCCAACAAAGGTAGCGTAAACCAATTCATTACTCGGAGGGAAATGTGAGGGCTGTGCACTTTAATTTACAATAACAACTGTGAGGACTGTTATCACTGTTTATTATTCATTAAATGTACGGCAGCTTTGGGAGTACTCTGTAGACATTGATGGATTTCATTATATTTGAGATGAAAAGACATGCTGAGTATGCAATAAACTGTCACATACTCATGTATTATCCAAGGCCCAATCACTTGGGTTTAATTTAGAAATCCGGCTTTATATACATTAAAGTACTGGAGGTTAATAAAATAATAATTTGTGATCATGGCCTTTATGTTGTGCTGAAATCCATGACCTGATCAATATTTTGTGTTTCGCTCCTGTTGAGGAAGTGAGGGGAAATCTCCCCAATAGGAACAAAAACAACAATTACAAAAAAAAATCCAATCTTTTTCTGGTCTACCAAAAAGTGTTTTAATCGAGTTCCATTTTGCACTGGAAATACCAGTCACTTCCTGTTCCTGTGACCTCACAGGAAGTGAGTGGAAACCTATCCAAAAGGTGACAATTCATGCAATAAAAATCTGACCGTGATATAAAAAGTATATCCAAAGCCAAAATCCCTCCCCTTCCCCCCCATTTTGGATACAATAGAGGATGGGTTAGAATTGCTCCTTTTTTCTCTTTTTGCCATCTGTTTTCTTAGTGAGATTTCTGTTCACTTCCTGTCCTGTAGACTTATAGTGACACTAAGTTAAACCTTAAAAATGCATTCAAGTACCTAACTATTAACAAAAAATTTATCTTATTTGTATATCACTCAGCTGTAGATCCTCAAATCATCTCTGAATTGGTGCCGACACTGTCCTTCCTTCTGGAGGGTGACTACTTTTGTTCCCCATGGTCCCTGTGTGTGTTGCAGTGAGGTGCAGTAAGGTCTGTGGTGTGTTGTAAAGTAACCATTGCTCCAAGCTCACTCCCGTGATGGACTACAACCTCATGTTTAGTTTACTAATTTGTATTAAAGTTATAGTCTAATCAAAGGAGCATGTATTATGCTAGATAATCAAAAAGAACACTGTGCATAAAAATCAATAACAAAAAAAATTATAATCAAAAAAGTGGAAAAACAGTTTGACCCTATTCACACCAGGATGACAGAGTTTCAGTGCTTTTCCCTTCGCGATTTTTGTAAGGGCGTTCTTACGTGTTTTTAATGCGCGTTTCAGCACTAAAACCCGTCTCTATGGAAACCGCGGTGATCAGCACAACAAAAGTAGCTCAGTGAACATTTCAGGAGACAGGCGTTTTGGATTGTGCGGTTCTGCGTGTTTGCGTGAAAGGTCCCCATAGGCATGTATGGGTTTTTAAATGTTGGTGTTTGAGGGTGGAAAAATGCGCGTGACGAAAACGCCCTGGTGTGAACGGGGTCTTAGTGTCCACAAACAATACAGTAGTTCTCCGATTATCAAGTGCTCCCCAATCATGATCGAATGTGAAGTCTGCAGGAAAGTGCACTCTGCTAAAAGGTGCTATTTCGGCTTTGTTACATACTGAAGATTTGCCCCACCTTTGGGTTTTTTTGGTCTCTTCAAGCCCACCTGCTACAGCCATCTGAAGGGGATCCCACTGTTCTTGTCTATGGGCATGTGCAGTGACTGGCATTTTCAGCACTTGATCCACACCAGTCACTGCAAGGGCACATCACAC